AGAGAGGGAGAAAGGGGATGGGATGATGGAGGCGCCCCACGGCAGGCAAAAGCCGCCAGTGACACCGTAAAAAGTCGCTAGTCGCTTTTTTGAAAAATAGTCGCTGGAGGGGTCTGAAAAGTCGCTGAGTTGGCAACACTGCAACTGCGGCGCTACTCGCTCCGCCATATTTTTTTCTTCCCCTGGATGACGGCGGCGGCGGATGACGCATTAATCGCGCGACACAACTAATCGATGATTAAATTCGTTGCCAACGCTTTTAAAAGTCGATTTTTATCGATTTTATCGATTCGTTGTTGCAGCCCTAGTATATTTGCTCTTGTTTAGACACAATCCTTTCATAAATTTACTCAGATATTATTATCTGTCAGCACAAAATTAGGTAAAGTGTCTTTTAAAGCAACACAGGAATTACAATATTGAACAGCAGTTGAAATGTATAAAAAATATGTTCACTCATAAAATAGCTTCTCGTGATTTTTGTTCTTAAAACAATGCTGCCGTATAAAATGTGTGTGCCATTATTGTTGACCAATTGCCCTAAACATCAATAAGATACTTAGAGAAGTTGCATGACATCATTTTATACATGCTGGATAGTGACTTTTTCAATTATTTGCTCATCAATTAACCTATTTGGTCTGTTTTTCAAACTTCAACAGGTCCTCAACCATCTATTTTATTATGTCACTTTTAAGACCTGATCTGTGATATAAATTCCTGATCAGAACTATGTAGAGCTCATAACCACTTTCCCTATTCTCAGTATCAAGCAGTTGGGGTTCCCCTCTCCCTATTGACTGCACATGCATAAAGTAATAAAAAACTACACAACATTGAGTTCCATGCACCAACCCTATTTTAAAAATAATACATCATAATTAAAAAAAGTTTTTTAAATAACAAACTGTTTTCGTAAAGACCATACTGTTCATCATTACATTGGAATCAGGAAAAACTCAAACTAGTGAGGGAATTTCAGGCTGAAATCTTTGTGTTTTATCTCAAAGGAGGATTATCCCCTTGATACCGAAGCCCATTAAACTGTTCACTGTAGTTTTTTATTATTTTTTTATCACATTATTGCCCTACAGTTACATGTATAGTATCATTGCCTCTGTTACTCAGGTAATTATAGTTCAGTTTAAATTATAAAGCATGCACAATGGTTAAATGTAGCCACAGGTATCCCTGCTGAACACGTGTTAATGAGCTTCCATGGCTTGCCTCGTTGCCACAGCTCAGGGTCAAATGCAGCTCTGTGCATGAAGAATATGGAGTAAGAGTCACAGAGTCATGAGAGAGTAAGGTATCCATTTGCCCAGCTAGAGCTCAAAGTCAATTATAGAATAGAGGCATGCAGTCTGCTGATAGGATAGACCAGCCTTCTAACCTAAGGCCTCTTCTGTATTCTCTTTGTCTTTGAGAATTTCACCTTTTTGTCCACATGAATTTTTCTCACTCACTCTCTCTGTCCTCCACCTGTCTTCCTTTATTTCCCTTGAGACTTTGCACATTCTGCATTGTTCATCTTTCTCCTTTTTTTTCTCAATTTGTCCCCCCCGTGCTTTAATGTCTTTCATTTCTGTCCCCTCTGCAGCAGTGAGCGCCCTCTCACTGTCGCTGCGGCGTCAAAAGAGGGACTCCCTGTCACCTTTGGAGGAGGATGACGTGCGGGAGAACATCATAACGTATGATGATGAGGGCGGAGGGGAGGCCGACACGGCCGCCTTTGATATTGCTGCTCTCCAGAGCGCTCCTCACAGCTCCCGCTCACGGGGCTATCGCACCCTAGACAGCAGGAATGTGTAAGTAGGCTGAATTTCTTTACATCTGCTCTTACATGTTCATTTTCATAAAACCTCAAAGCTGGTCTCACATTGCAAACCAAAGGCAACACAGAAGGTAAGAGAAAATGCTTCTATCTCACTCAGAACTGAAGCGATCCACTTAAGCAACCGATTAAGCCAGTGCTCCCAGGTCATAATCAATCCCTGATCAAAACACTGAAACAGAAGGCTATCAAGCGCGGCAGTCCCTGGAGAGCACTTTGTTCTGTCCATTTTGCTAAAGCTCGTTTAAGTTGTGCTACATCAGAGGGTTGTTTGCACCCACTTTGATGCTGCTGTGAAATGTTGTTATTGCCTTTGGACTAATAATTAGCTCCCAAATTCATGCAGGCCATATGGAGCGGCTATAAAACAAGTACAAAGAGTGCCTGCAATTTATCAAAAATTGCTTCTCTCATTTTATAGGCATGGACAAAATAACATGAAAACAAAAACAAATAGAAAAAGGCAATGCAACACAGTGCAACATCACTGCAACAATTCTTTGTTTAGTTTTTATTGTTGTTGATGAAGAACTTCAAAAACCGAACCCTAATGTAAATGGACATGGAAAAAGCCATCCAACCTTTATCCATCCTTAAAATTATTTTTTATTTTGATTAAAGTCTTGCAAAGCTTTTGAAATAATGCACTATATAAGCATACTTGAACAGGTAGTGTTTGCTTTTGATTTAGGCTTTGTGTTTTAAAGCACTTAATGTATCAGTGACTGATCTACTGTAAGTTGGGTTCTTATGCAAGCTGTAGACAATCGTATGCAGGAAGGGTAGTTTTAGGAAAGCACTGTCGTTAATATGAATAAAACCAATCCTGCTTCGATTGTAGTTAGAAAACGTATTCCTCGTAATTGCCATAAATTATTTAACTGCTTGTTTCCCAGGCGTTATACCCAGCATGGTCCTGACAAGGCTCGCAACTACGGCTGGCCCCAGAACCCAGGTGTGGACCACAACTACACAGCACCAGGAGGCCCCCTTTATGGTCGCCTGTGTTACAGCAGCCACACCCTCCCGGTTCTCCGCCGTACACCAGGTGGAACCTTTGATCCAGGCCTGACTGAGTTGGCGTACCGTATTCCCGGAGGCCAGCCAGACCACTCCCTGGTTATCCAGAACCAAGGCGCAATGGTGGGACCAATGGAGTCGGGGGCAATGTACATAGCTCCTACAGACCTCAGCACAGGGAGCCGAACAGGCAGTCGCACTGGCAGCCGTGATGGGACGGCGCCCCAAAGTGCAGTAAGCACGTCGGACGGAGGGACACCGAGGACTAGCAACAGTCAGGAGAGAGGAGGAGGGACGGGGCCTGGTAGCAGCTGTATGGACGGAAGTAATGAGGACAAAAATAATCAAAGTCAGGATCTGGACTGGGTAAGGATAAAATAATGCCACTTTTGTTCAAAAAGGAAAGTTTGTAAAATTTGTAGTGCCTCAGTGAAATATCTTAAAGTTTTTCTCATTATCTCATTCAACAACACGCAAGCTTGTTTTGTTTTTCTTTTTTTATCCTACAATAGACTGACACAACCAAGTAGGGCATAGTTGAGATGTGAAAAAAGTGATGTGTAGTTTGTATCATTTTCAGATTAGTGTTTTTTTTTTATCATTTACTCTATGACCTTTAGATAAAATCCAATGCAACAGTTGCATTTAAACGTCACCCAGGTATAGTCAGAAGAGGCTACCTGTGAATCCAGCTTTTCAATCGGGGATAGTTGGGATGCTCAAACAATATTCTAAATGATAGACATTATACAGGGTTCCCGCGGGTCCTTGAAAAGTCTTAAAAGGCATTGAATTCTTAAAAATAAAACTAAGGCCTTAATTGGTATTACAATGTCTTAAATCAGTCTTTCGTAGGTCTTAATTTTTTAAAACATCATAAATAGGATTATTTTTATTACGATTTATTTTTGGAATCTAAAATAAAACTTTATAATTGACCATTTTTTATTTTTTCTTTATTTAAAAAAAAAATAATGGCTCGCCATTATTGGTTCCGTCCCGATAACGGAACCAATAAAAGAGTTGCTGCGGCTGGGACATTTGGGAGATGTGCCATTTACTTTTTGTCTGGAAAATATGAACAAGTGTAAATGTGACGAAAATTGGCTCCAGCCAAGAGTTTTCTCCATGGCTAAAACCAG